CATGGAGATCCACCTTCCTCTGTCTCCTGAGTGCTGGGATTAAAGGTGTGCACCACCACGTCTAACCAGAAATTTGACTTTGTGGCAAGTAAAATTACAAAATTAAAGTCTTAGTATGTAAAACACATTTTCTGTCTGGCAAATAATCATTTTTAAGTGTTAGAGACAGTGTCTTCCTATCATGGTTTGGCTAGCCTGGAACTGTTGCGATATTCTTTCATCCACCCTACTTCCAGGATTGCAGAGTACTGGGATTACAGTTCAGCACCAACATGCCAAACTGTATTCCGTTTAGAAAGAAATCATGCAGGATGGCAATATTTAAATTATAACAGTAACATTATTGCACAGAGTACACTAAGATTTCTGTTATCCCTTGGGGATATGTCGAGACAATTGCTGAGAAAAATGAAAATCATCACATGGGATTAGAGCTTAGAACTGAGCAGGTGCAAAAAGTGAGTGAAAGGAAAACTTTAAATCCACATACTCAATTTATTGCTAGCAAAGAGACTTTCAAAGCGCCATTAATTGATTGAACAAAACCCATGATTAGTGGTAATTACAGAGATTTTCCTCACATACAATGATCTTGTGGATTTTCTAAGGCGATAATCAAGGCTATTATTGTTAATTAAAGGGGGAAATGGGTTCCATATTTTGTCACAATTGAAATGAAACAGTAGTCTTCTCTACTCTCCCCTTCCATGCAAAGTAGGAAATGATCATCCTTGAAAAGAAAATAAGTTGTGCCTGTTTAATAAATAAGGGGGGTCCTAGAATGGCAAATAAATTCTATAGTACCTTTGACGATTGCCTGAAGGTTCTGTAACTAATGTCATCTTAGAACTACAAAGAGTGTTTAAGGAAAATCCAAAGATTCAGCTGATTTTTTAAATGAGTTTCTAAAAGTCAGACTATATACAAGCCTTTATTATGCATGCACACAAAATACACCAATAAAATTTATGTGCTTCAGTGTAATGACCACAGCTATTTTTTAAAAGATTGAAGTTATTTTTATTTGTATGAGTGTTTTGCCTGTGTGCATGTAAGAGCACCCATGTTGTGCAATGCCTGTAGAGGTCAGAAGAGGGTGTCATATTCCTTGGAATTAGAGTTATAGATAGTTGTTAGCTGCCATGTGGGTGTTGGGAACCAAACCCAGGTCCTCTGTAAGAGTAGCCAGTGCTCTCTCTTTTTTAAAGAATACATGGTAGCCCACAACTGTCTGCAACTCCAGCTCCAGGGAATTTGATGTCCACTTCTGAGCTAGGTGGGCACCAGGCACGCACATAGTGCACATCAATTTTTAAAAATATTTTATTTTTATTTTATGTGTATGAGTGTATTGCCTGCATGTGAGTACACCCATGTCGTGCAATGCCACGGAGGTCAGACAGGGCTTCGGATTCCCCTGGAACTGGAGTTAAGGATGGTTCATAGCCGCCATGTGGGTGCTGGGAATCGAACCCGGGTCTTCTGCAAGAGCAGTTAGTTCTCTTAACCGCTGAGCCATCTCTCCAGCCCCATCTTTTAAATATTTTATTACTTTTATTTTATGTGTCTGTGTGTATTGCACCAGTGTCATTCAGTGCCTGAGAAGGTCAGAAGAGGGCATCAGATCCCCTGAAATTGGAGTTACAGACAGGTGTTAGCTGCCATGTAGGTGCTGGGAATCAAAACTGGGTTCTCTGCAAGAGCAGTCAGTTCTCTTAACCACTGAGCCATCTCTCCAGCCCCTTTCTTTTTTTAAGTATCTCCCACCAAATTCTTTAATAAGTTCTTTATAACAAAGAACATTTGAATATACAGTAGATAATGGTAATATCCCAGTATAGCAAATGACTGTATGCTTCCTTGAGATTCAATTAATTAAATATTTATTGGAGAACTTAACATGTGTACAACACTGTGCTAGATATCACAAGGAGAATGTAAGAGAGTATTATCTAGAATAGGCAGAAATATTGGGCTTCCAAATTCTCATTGGCAGTATGTATGTTAAAACGAGTGTGTATACTGGAACTCATACATGGTACGGTATTCATTAGGTCGCCCAGTCTCATCTCCTGCCTTTGCAAAGTTATTGCTTACCCTAAAGTCTGCTTAACAATAGTTCCACAGCAGTCAAACCTCTAATTCATTCCTCATTTACTAACTACAATTTAACCCTGTTTACACCATGGAGATAACTGCTCAACTCTTTTTGTCATTACAGATTAACACTGATAAAATTAATTTCTTTAACTCATAAAATTCTTCAAGTCCCATCATGTAAATCACATTAGTGTTAATTTTAAAGAAACAGTAATTCTAAGATGTGAAAAATGAGAGAAAGGCCTATATTCAGCAACCAGTATTTATTTCAAGAGGCTAAGCAAGGAGATTAAATCATTACAACATTAATAAGCCACGGACCCTACTCCATCACTCTATTCATATTAAAACTAGTTAGGCTGCTCTTTACACTGAAAGTAAAAGACAATGGTTAAAGTAAATGCATTCCTAACACAACTATGAAAAGAATAATCCTAAAGAATAATGATAAAAAGAAAAATGTAATAACAAAATCCCCACCTCTTATGACAAAAAATTCATTGGCTGATTTTCATCAATCAAATATCAGACTATGTTATACCATTCTTACAGAGAATGGTATCTGTTGCAAGTTTTTCTATTGCTTTTTAAACACAAAATTATACTAAGATTCAGAACTTTTCAACGTTGCTTTTCTAGCTAAAACTCTGATAGAATATGAAGTCATTCTAGCTGGGGGTTATTATTCTCTCCAAGGTATGCTGTCATTATTAATATTATATGCATTTGTAGAAAATGTGGGTCATGGACTAGGGATATAGCTCATTTGGTAGAATAAGTGCCTAGCTTATAAAAAGGCCTGGGCTCAGTCCCCAGCACTACATAAACCAGGTTTGGTGGTATATGTCTGCAATCCCAACACTAGGTAGATGACAGCAGCAGAATCAGGAGTTTGACGTCATCATGGGTTACATAGTGAATTCACGGCAAGCCTGGACTAAAAGAGATCCTCTCTCAGAAAATGAATGAATGAGTAAATAAATAAATAAATAAATAAATAAAAGCAAATATATACATTTAATACCAGCACTCAGGAGACAGAGGCAAGCCAAGCTATGTGAATTGGAGGCTAGCCTGGTCTACATACAGAATTCAGGTCAGCCACAGCTACATAGTGAGATCCCGTCTCAACAAACAAACAAACAAACAAACAAAAGAAATAGGGATAGATGTCTTTCTCCTTTTTCATTAACGGGATTTTCAGCATAGATTTAAAAGTAAATAAATCTAGGAATCCTGGTGGGGTTTTTTGAGATAAGATTTCAAGTACATAGCCCTGGCTGGTGTGGCACTTGCTCTGTAGACCAGGCTGGCCTCAAACTCACAAAGATCCACCCACTTCCATCTCTAAGTGCTGGGATTAAAAGTATACAGCATCATATTAGACCAAGAGTAAATCTGATTTAAATAATAAATCATCATATTCTAAATTTATTCCTTTTAGTTTAGGTGATGCCAATTAGTAATAGGTCACCTTAAGCACATGTTGCCTCATGTGAACATAAACATCAATAATTGGATTTTAACTGGTTCATTTTGTGTTCTGTACACTTGACCTCAACATTGATATTTAGAAAGTAAACACAATATATTGCTTCCATAGTTGCTTAATTGTAAGATGTGATAGGATTATGTTAATATATAAACCAAGTCAACCTGGTGGTGCAAACCTGTAACTGCAGCTACTGGGGAAGGTGAGGCAGAAGGATGGCAAACTCCAGACTTGCCTGAGCTGTGGAGTAAGTTCAAGGCTAGTCTGGACAACTTACTAAAACTCTCGCTAAAAACACAAATAGGTGAGGATGAATGGTACAGCACTTGCTTACCATGCATAAGCCTCTGGGTTCAAATCCCAGCTCCATCAAAAAAAAATGCCATAGCAGTATGCCTTTATATCTTAGATTGATGTTATAATTTCATTTTATGTTAGAAGGAAAAATAGTCTACATTAGTCAAAAGTTGGGAAGATCCGTGAAAAAGATAATATAATGAAGCTAAATAAGGACGGATAGTCAGATATATTATGCCAACACTCAAGAGGCTGAGGTAGGAAGACTGCTGAGAGTTTAAGGGATCAGCCTGGGCTATATCTACATAGTGAGTTTCTATATCCATCCTCAGATACAGAATGAGAATCCTTTCCCACCAAACACTCATCTCAGAAAAACGCATACAAATTACACTAACAAAACGTGTCATCAAAATTTCACATCACAGCAATCCCCAATCTAATGACTGGACCTAAAAATCCTTGACAAATTAAATACTAGATTTAATTAGAAACATCAAAAAATTTTAAATTATTTATTTTTATTTGTAGAAGTGTTTTGATTGCCTGTGTGCTTATTGGTGTGTGTGTGTGTGTGTGTGTGTGTGTGTGTGTGTGTGTGTGTAGTGACTGAAAAGGCCAGAAGAGGTTAACAGAGCCACCATGTGGGTGCTGGGAATTGAACCTGGGTCCTCTGGAAGAATAGCAAGTGCTCTCGTCCCTTGAGGCACCTGTCCAACCCCATATTAAAATTTTTAATAAAAGTTTTTACTTCATTTATTTATCTATGTGAGTGTACATACATATATAGACGTTAAAGGACAATTTACAGGAGTCGGTTCTCTCTTTTCACCATGTGAATCCCCAGAACTGAACTCAGGTCTTCAGGCTTGGTGGTAAGTATCATTACCTGATGAGCCATCTTGCTGGCTCAAAATAATACAATTTTAAGTATGGTTTGTAAAATTTTACCTGTCTATCTTTTTTTTTGGTTTGGTTTAGTTTTTGGTTAGTTTCCCTATGTAACCAAGCCTAGGGCTAGTGATAAACCATTCACAAAAATTTCTTGTGAAATAACTTTGATACCAAATAAAAATTCCTTTCCTTTAGTTATAGGAAAAAATATACTCACCGACTTTTGCAAAGGCTTCTTTGAGTTCATCCAGCTCATCTTTGGAAATCTGAGTAGTAGCCATCTCATCCATGTATAGATCTAAAGAGAGAGCAAATGGTTTCCGGCTTTAAAAAGGCTGTGATGAATGCATAATATTAGTATGCTTGCTTAATTCTGATTTAAGGAAACAATAAGTAGACTTGCAAACTATTAAACAATCTGCATAGGTGTCCTTGTGAAACTATAGTTCATAATAAAGAAAATAAATGACAAGCAAAAGCTATTTAGAAAAAACAAATTCTGAATCTTAATTTTCTTCTCTTTGTTTTCTTTTGCCATGACTTTTTTATTTTTAAAGGCTCAAATAGTAGTCATAATTCATTAAACACTTACTGTATGTCACAAATTACCTCATACATTTTACATGGATTGTTTCATTAACCATGCACAGTAAGCTATAAACCTACAAACAACTTAATTTACAATAGAGGGTGCTAACACATACAGAAATGAAGGTAGGTGCCTTAAGTCTCACAGCTAGCAGCTTACACAGTAAGACATACCCTCATTAGAGAAGGAAGTTATTTTACCTCTTATTTCTTAATGTAATTAAGAACATTTAGTTATATATTTTTATGTTTACTGATTCTTTAAAATACTTTAAAACTTTTAAATTTTTATATTTTTATTTTATGTGTATGAGTGTTCTGCCTGTGTGCATGTAAGAGCACCACAGGCAAGAAATGCATATTGAGGCCAGAAGAGGGAGTGAGAGTCCTTGATACTGGAATTATGGATGGGTATTAGTTACCATGTGGGTCCTCTGGAAGAGCAGTAAATGCTCTTAATTGCTTAGCCGTCTCTCCAGCCTCTTTATTGATTCTTTGATAATTTTGTACAATATATTTTGATATTTGTGTACCTCTCCCATTCCCTCTTCCTCCTTATTACCACCCACTTCCCCTACTATTATTATTTTTGAGGCCTATTAAATCTAATTTGTGTCCTCTAAAGGATAAAATCCTTAAATATTTTTATTACTTTTATTTTTGTTTGTGTATGTGTCCAGGCACACATATGCCATGTGTGAATGTGGAGGTCAGAGGATAACTAATGGAGTATTTTCTCTGTTACCATGTGGGTCCCAAGGATTCAACTCAGGCCATCGTGCTTGGTGGCACCTTTACCCACTGAATAATCTCACTGGCTCAAGCATAAACTCTTAATCTACTTTCAAAGAATATAAAGAAGGGTCAAAGTATCCAACACCAAGTAAAGGTCCAAATGACTTTGCCAGTGATTCATGTAAAATAAGCAACTTTCACAGCCAATAGCATACTAATAACTATCAATCACTCCCCTTAAGAAAGTGGTAAAGCAAACTGTTTGGTTTTCATAGAAGTCATAGTAATGTATGTTAATATATATATTCTTTTTAAAAAATATTTTTATTTTATGTGTATTCGTGTATTGCCTACATGTATGTAAGTGCACCATGTTGTGCAATGCCTGTGGAGGACAGAAGAGGCTGTTGAATCCCCTTGAACTGGAGTTATGGACAGTTGTTAGCTGCCATGTGTGTGCTGGGATTCGAACCTGGGTCTTCTGCAAGAACAGCCAGTGTTCTAAACTGCTGAACTATCTCCCCAACTCCAATATATACATTCTTGTTAATATAAATTACTGTATTTTTTAAGTTGACGCCCTTTCCAATTTTGGGCCTGCTTGTTGGATTTAAGCAAAAGAGCAAGAGTTGGCAATCTCCATCCTGTGAACTGAATCTGGACTACATGTTTCTATGATTTTTGTTCTAGTTTCCTTTCTGTAGGTGTGATAAAACTCTCTGGACCAAAATTAACTTTGGAGAGGGAAGGATTTATCTGGTTTCCACTTCCAGGCGAGAGTCCATTATTCAGGGAAGTCAGGGTTAAAAACCAATCAAGGACTTGAAGCAGAAACCATAGAGGAATATTTCCTGATTGCTTGCTCACAGGCTTATGCTTAAGTAGCTTCCTAATATAGTCCAGGACCACCTGCCCAGGGAATGGTACCAACCACAATGGGCTGGGCCCTCTTACTTGAATTAATAATGAAGACATTCTCTTGTAGACATGTCCACTCTTGTAGACATGTCACTCAATTGAGGATCCTTTTCCAGGTGATTCTAGGCTAGTCAAGTTAACAGTTAATGCTATCTAGGCCACTCCCCAAGTAAAATGTGTTTTTTACAATAGAAATTTGAAGTCAGTTTTCATTATAGAACCCTTCAGCTTTCAACCCCAATTAAGTGAAATAGCCCAGAAAATTCCATTAAAAAAGTCAGACTGGAATTTAAAAATTATGGTGAAATATATTCAATATTTTTGATTTTGCCTCCTCATGTATAACATTTACATTTTCAACCTTTATAAAACCTTTGCTGGCCCACCCCTAAAATAAATGGGTGTTCTGTATCACAGTAGATGGACAATCCCTAAATAAAATCTTGGATGAAGGAGAATGAAAAAATACATGGTGACATTTTTTTGCTTTCATTATTCTTCTTCTTTTATTTTTCAGTAGAGCTTATTTTCAGAGCCGCTTTAGGTTCATAGCAAAATTTAGCAGAAGGGAGAGAGACCCTAACCCCACACATGGCCTCACCATTGTCAATATTCCACATCAAGTGGTAAATCTGTTAGGACTGGTGAACATACAGAAGAACATCATTACCATTCAGAGTTCTTGTCTATTACGATTCACTCTTGGTATCGTATATTCTATGAGTCTGAAAAAGTGTATACTGGCATGTATTTCCATAGTGTCATACACCATGTTTTCACTGCCCTACATGTGTTGCCTTTACAGCACCTGCCTAGCATGTGCAAAGCTCTACCATTCCACAAAAGAATTAAAGCAAAACCACCCAAGATCTTTTATCTTTTATATACTTTATCAAAAAGAAACAAATTGCCACGTGAAGTGGCACATGCCTGTAATCCCAGCACTTGGGAAATGAAAGCAGATCAGATAGTCAGGGTTATCCTTGGCTACACAGTAAGTTCAAGGCTAGCCTGGATTAGATTAATCCCAGTCTGAACAAATAAAGAAGCAAGCAAACACACAAACAAGTAACAAATTGGGGCCTGGGAGATGGCTCAGTAGGGAAAGGTGCTTGCCACTAAGCCTGAAGACCTAAGTTCAAACCCTGGACTCCACGTGGTGGAAGGAGAGAACGAACTCCCACTACTTGTCCTCTGACCTCCACACATGCACTGTGGCATTCCCATAGTCACATACATTCACAAATTAAATAAACATGACAAAACATTTTAAGTAACAAATTATTCACCATTTCATTTTTTTCCCCTTTCAAAGCTTGCTATGACATCATCAAAATATATAACATAGACCTTGCCTGTTCAGGCCGCTTTTTAAAGCTATGATATTAAAATGCCTCTACAGATGGAAAACTTCTGAGTGGGCACACTCAGTAAAAACACCCACCATTCAGTAACCTCAGATCTACGAGGTAACAAAAGATCTTCAGTTAGACATAAATCTGTTCATTTTATTTTATCAGTATTTCTTAGAGAGTGTGTCACATGTAGCTAAGGCTGGCCTCTAAGCTGCTGTGTAGCCTAGGATGGCCGTAAACTTCTCATGCTCATATCTCCACCTCCCTTTTCAGTGCTGGGACTTTAGGTATGCATGCCTGATTTACTCAGTGCTGAGGACCCAGGGCTTCATGCATCCCAGGTAATCAGTACCAACTGAGCTACATTCCTAGGTCATAGCTTGTAATTTTAAATATTAAGGAACAGTTTACAGATTCAATATAAGTTCAATCAAAATCTCCATGACATTCTTCACAGAAATAAGGAAAAATATCTTAAAGTTCATATGGAAGCACAAAAGACCCTGGCTAGCCAAAACATTTTTGAGTAAAAGGAACAATAATAAAGGGATTAGCATACTAGATTTAAAGCTAAATTTCAGAGCTCTTATAATAAAAACAGTATGGTATGGGCACAAAAACAAACAAGGAAATCAATGGAACAAAAAAGAAGACACAAACATGAGTTCACATAATTAATGGCCATCTGATATTTGGCAAAGATGCCAAAAATACCACACTAGAGGAAAGATGGCATCTTCAAAAATGGTGCTGGTAAAATTGGATATCTATATGCAGAAGAATGAAATTAGACCATTCTCTATTACCCTGCACAAACATCAACTCCAAATGGATCAAAGACGTCAGTGTGAAACCTGAAATCCTGAAACTATTAGAAGAAAACATAGGTAGTATCCTGAAAGGCAGAGGTGAAGGAAAAAACTTTCTGAATAGGACTTGATTCATTCAAGAATTAAGGTCAGCAATTGAGAAATGGAACCTCGTTAAACTAAGAAATTTCTGTATTTGTTGGGATACTAAGCAAATTAAGCAACAAAGTATCTTGGGAAAAAGCATCATATTAACTAACTTGGAAATTGCTGTAGATTTTTCTCACTGTATTGAGCGTCTTTTAAAATTTATCATATTTTCAATGAAGTAATAATTTCAAATTACTGATTTATACTATATATTGAGCCTAAATATGAGGATGGTAAACTATGAAGGGTTTCATTGAATATACATTTCTGTGTGTGTATATGGTAATTGTGTGTGTATGTGTGTTCACATGTGTGAGCAGGTACATCACTTGTGTGTTTATATGGGTACTGTGTGTGTATACATGTGTGAGATCACATGTGTGTGAGCAGGTACACAAAGTGGCACAAGGTTGGTGTCAAGTCTTTTCCTTGATCACTCTCTGTGTTACATATTGAGGGAGGGTCTGTCACTGATTTGGCTGGTCTAGCTAGCCAGCTTGTTCTAGGAAGTCCCCTTTCTCTGCCTCCCTAGGACTGGAATTTGAGGTAAGCTGCTACAACCACTTGGCATTTCTGTGGCTACCGGGGTTCTTAACTCAGGCCCTCATGCTAATCCCTATACGCACTCAGTCATCTATCTCCCCAGGCCATATTGAATATTTTTATTAGCATATATTAGTTGTATAAAATGATGGGTTCACAAGTGATACAGAAAATTTGACACCATCATTCATTACCTATAG